GTCAAAAGGACATTTTTTCCTATTATTTTGACTATCTTCCATCCTCAGCAATATTTGTTGTTTTAAAAAACGACGATAAGAATTGTATTAGGTTGGTGAAAAAATAATGACGTAATAATGTCGTTTTTTGACGTTAAAAAATGCATCAAAAAACGACATTATTACGTCATTATTTTTGCACCAACCTAATAAAACCTAAACATATGATAAAAGTGAATTTATCCATTTTTTTTTTTGTTCTTGGGAATTTACAACAAAAAATATGAATCAGTATTTATTTATTAGATTGTTTATAAGAATAATTTTATATTTACAACATTCTAAAAACTAATACAATTAAAATTAATGCAATGAAATATTTATAATCTCAGTTAGTCAGTTAAATCCTATACTTGATACATGATTGGCGATCATGTCTCTTTCGATACATGACTGACTAGGCAGAAGATTTTCTCTAAGTTGGTTGCCGTTTCTTTCTCTAATGGGAATATTAACCGTTTCTTTATAAGGAAACATTCAACATTCAATGACCAACGAGCAAATGCGACTCGAGTTACAATTCACTTCAATATCTGTCCATTGGGCTCGGCTGAAAGTGTAGTATCTGTTCTTTTCATCTCTAATAGTCAGTCAGTTAAATACCAGATACGATACATGCTTGGGCAATCATATCTCTTTTTCAAATCTTAGTTGACTAGGCAGATATTCTTGCAGATGTTTGCCGTTTCTATCTCTAATGGTAATATTAGCTGTTTCCTTTTAAGGAGACATTTGGCATTCATTGATGCTTTACTTCAACCTCTGTCCATCAAGCTGTGACCAAAATGTAGAATCTGTTCTTTACATCTCTAATGGTCTCTCATTTAAATTCCAGACACAATACACACTTGGGCGATCATCTCTCTCTTGATTCATGACTGACTAGGCAGAAGATTTTCTTGCAGTAGTTTGTCATTTTTTTCTGTGGTAGACTAGTTGCCAACCAAGGCAATAAAACCCAGTCTGCCCTGTTATTTAACCTGTGGATGGGAGGAAAAAATTGTATTTATACCTTTCTCAAGAGTATTTGCACATAAGTGAATGCAACGAACCCAACTGGAATTCAACCTCAGCCCTTTAATATCTCTCTCTGAGCCGATATTCATTACGCGAACAACTTGTATTATTTTATAAAGAAATAAATATGAAACCAATTTTATTCATAAATTTATAAACATTTACTAAATTATTAAAACATCTGAACAACTATGAAGAAATCCTTATTCACCATTTTATAAAGTTCAAATCAATTGGTAATTAGCCGATCTTTTGACAACCATTCCAATAAAAAAATCCAAGAAATAAATAGTGGTTATTATTTTTGTTTTCTCAAGAACAAATAAAATATATAAATTTGTTTTTAGATTTTTAAGTTTTGTTACAATTCTAATCATCACCTTTAAAAACAATAAATATTGCCAAAAAGTAATGGTAGTTAAATAATAATGGTGTCAATGTAACTGTTCTTTTGACATGGTTTTATTCTGGGCATGAATCTCCAAGTTTGCCATTATTTTAAACCTTTTGTTTCCCTAAAAAATCATCTATATAGTACGTTTTTCTTCTAAAAATACTGGCCTCAAGAATAGCATATTCTTCAAGGAGGATAATTGTGGATTCGGAAAGTATTTTATTCAGTTCTTAATTCTGCCTTCGTAGATAAAATTAGAAAATCTTCTTTCAGATGTTTTAGTATTACTGCAGAAAAGTAGCTGGGACTGTTTGCTAGTTAAATTTTCCAGCCCTCCCAATAAAGAATCTAATAAGTAAATAAATAGTGTTTATGATTTTGGTTTTCAATTCTCAAGAACAAATAAAATGTATAAATTTGTTTTCATCTGCTTCGGTTTTATTACAATTCTAATCATTGTTTTTTAAAACAACACATATTGCTGGGGAGTAAAGTTAGTTAAAATAATAACTGTGTCAATGGAAAAACCATTGTTTTGACAGTCTGTTGTCTTGCAGGTATGAAAGTCCAAGTTTATTATAAGAAAATGAAATGGAATACACCGAGGTCATTTTGTTTTGTCAATAATTATGCAAAAGACACTTTTCAGAACAAAGATAATGGTATTGATGGAAATGGTATTGATGGAAATGGTATTGATGGAAAGAAAAATATCCCTCTCTTTGCTGTTTAATAACGATATATTGGTAAAAAATGAAAACCATTATTTTCAGTACAGCAGGCATCAGGGCATACTTTTCATCCTGTTCTTTGTGTACAATGGAAAAGTGCTGCTTGAAATAACAGATTCCCAATGCCCAAGCTCACTTTTTTGCATGGTGTCTTCTCAGCAGAAATTTACAGCAGGTTTGTACACAGACAGACAAAAATTGTTTTGGTACAGGAGAACTTCTATTCTACAAGTAAATATATATGAAAGACCCTACAGCAGGCTATCCTGATACCAATGGGAAGTGCAGATGAGGCTAGGTGGTATGATCCTGGGTGGTGTTAGATCAGGGTGGAGCAATTTGTTGTTCATGTAACCATCAGGTGAAGATGTTAAGGGCTGAGGGGGATTTGATCTAGAGGCAATTAATTAAGCAATGAGGAAGGAAACAAAGAGAAAATTAATAAAAAGGATAGAAAAAAAGGTGGAGAATAAAAAACAGAAAAGGAAAGGCATTTGAGGATTTGGTGAAGAAGAAGAAGAAGAAGAAGAAGAAGAAGAAGAAGAAGAAGATATTTGAGGAATAAATAGAAGAAGAAGAAGAAGATAGTTGAGGAATAGATAGAGAGGAGAAGAAGAAGAAGATATTTGAGGAATAGATAGAGAGAAGAAGAAGAAGAAGATATTTGAGGAATAAATAGAAGAAGATAGTTGAGGAATAGATAGAGAGAAGAAGAAGAAGAAGAAGAAGAAAAAGAAGAAGATATTTGAGGAATAAATAGAGAGAAGAAGAAGAAGAAGAAGAAAAAGAAGAAGATATTTGAGGAATAAATAGAAGAAGATAGTTGAGGAATAGATAGAGAGGAGAAGAAGAAGAAGAAGAAGAAGAAGAAGAAGAAGAAGAAGATATTTAAGGAATAGATAGAGAGAAGAAGAAGAAGAAGAAGAAGAAGAAGATATTTGAGGAATAAATAGAAAAGATAGAAATAGATAGAGGAGAAGAAGAAGAAGAAGAAGAAGAAGATTTAGAATAGATAGAGAGAAGAAGAAGAAGAAAGAAGAAGAAGAAGATATTTGAGGAATAGATAGAGAGAAGAAGAAGAAGAAGAAGAAGAAGAAGAAGAAGAAGATATTTGAGGAATAAATAGAAGAAGATAGTTGAGGAATAGATAGAGAGGAGAAGAAGAAGAAGAAGATATTTGAGGAATAGATAGAAAGAAGAAGAAGAAGAAGAAGAAGAAGAAGAAGAAGAAGAAGATATTTGAGGAATAGATAGAGAGGAGAAGAAGAAGCAGAAGAAGATAGAAAAGGAAAGATATTTGAGGAATAGATAGAGAGAAGAAGAAGAAGAAGAAGATATTTGAGGAATAAATAGAAGAAGATAGTTGAGGAATATATAGAGGAGAAGAAGAAGAAGAAGAAGAAGAAGAAGATATTTAAGGAATAGATAGAAGAAGAAGAAGAAGAAGAAGAAAAGAAGAAGAAGAAGAAGAAGAAGATTTTTGAGGAATAGATAGAGAGAAGAAGAAGAAGAAGAAGAAGAAGAAGAAGATATTTGAGAGAAAAGAAGAAGAAGAAGAAGAAGAAGAAGAAGAAGATATTTAAGGAATAGATAGAGAGAAGAAGAAGAAGAAGAAGAAGAAGAAGATATTTGAGGAATAGATAGAGAGAAGAAGAAGAAGAAGAAGAAGAAGAAGAAGAAGAAGATATTTGAGGAATAGATAGAGAGAAGAAGAAGAAGAAGAAGAAGAAATTTGAGGAATAAATAGAAGATAGTTGAGGAATAGATAGAGAGGAGAAGAAGAAGAAGAAGAAGAAGAAGAAGAAGAAGAAGAAGATTTTAAGGAATAGAATAAAGAGAAGAAGAAGAAGAAGAAGAAGAAGAGAGGAATAGATAGAAGAAGAAGAAGAAGAAGAAGAAGAAGAAGAAGAAGAAGAAGATATTTGAGGAATAGATAGAGAGAAGAAGAAGAAGAAGAAGAAGATATTTAAGGAATAGATAGAAAGAAGAAGAAGAAGAAGAAAAAGAAGAAGATATTTGAGGAATAAATAGAAGAAGATAGTTGAGGAATAGATAGAGGAGAAGAAGAAGAAGAAGAAGAAGAAGAAGATATTTAAGGAATAGATAGAGAGAAGAAGAAGAAGAAGAAGAAGAAGAAGAAGATATTTGAGGAATAGATAGAGAGGAGAAGAAGAAGAAGAAGAAGATAGAAAAGGAAAGATATTTGAGGAATAGATAGAAGAAGAAGAAGAAGAAGAAGAAAAATTTGAGGAATAAATAGGAAAGATATTTGAGGAATAGATAGGAGAGAAGAAGAAGAAGAAGAAGAAGAAAAGAAGAAGAAGAAATAAGAAGAAGATATATTTAGGAATAGATAGAGAGAAGAAGAAGAAGAAGAAGAAGAAGAAGAAGAAGAAGAAGATATTTGAGGAATAGATAGAGAGAAGAAGAAGAAGAAGAAGAAGAAGAAGAAGAAGAAGAAGATTTAAGGAATAGATAGAGAGAAGAAGAAGAAGAAGAAGAAGAAGAAGAAGAAGAAGAAGAAGAAATAAAAATAAAAAGGAAAGGCATTTGAAGAATGGATGGAAAGAAAAAGAAGAGAAAAATAGAAGAGAAGGTATTTGAGGAATAGATGGAGAGATGAAGAAGAAAAAAAAAACAACATTTAGAAATGTACACAAAAAAAGAGGAGAGAAAAGCAAAGGACGATGAGAACACTGAGGAGAAAGAAAATATAGAAGTAATTAAAATTGCCAGGTAAAGTTAAGAATTTCTTACCACCTGTGCCTGTCTGCTTTTTTCTTTCCTTTTCCTTTTTTTAATGTGGAACTAGGCTTGGGATGAGTCAGTCTTTTGAGCAAGGATCGGTGGAAGGGGGTCTCTTTGTTCTGTTTCAGGTTGTTTCTTTTCTCAGCTTCCCACAGGTTTCAAATGGCAACAATTCAGATCCAATGGAGGTATACATTATTATACATTAAGAGTTTAAATCTTAAATTATTTTAAACTCAACCTCCATTTATTTTCCAAAAGGATATCCCAAAATTCTACACAAATATGTCACTGAAACAGCACACTGTAGTGATTGTTAGAGGTTATTATTTATTGCCCTCATCTTTGTTGTTACTATCACAGTGTTTTGGCCATTCTGCCCTTTGTCCTTCATCGCATAACCTACAGGGGATTCAAAACTGAACCCTTTATTTAATCTATTAGGGTAGACATTTTTTCTTATCTTTTTTTTTATCAATACAGCAGAAGAAATAATGCTACTAATGCTGAGTGAAGGAGAATGAGAACACTTTAGAAGAATCCAGAAACCCAATTCCAAAAAGGTGTAGTGATCTCACAATCACGAGAAATAAAAAAAAACTCTAATTCACATGATTCCATAGTAAAAAGGAAACCATCCTATTCGCAGAAAATTTAAAGACTATCTCTTTCTCATCTATCTGCCTATCATCCCTCCCTCTTTCTATCTATCTACCTATCATTCTTCTCTCTTTCTCTCTGCATATCGTTCCTTCTCTCTTTCTATCTGCCTGTCATCCTTCTCTCTTTCTATCTGCCTGTCATCCTTCTCTCTTTCTATCTGCCCTTCATTCCTCCCTCTTTCTATCTGCCTATTGTTCTTTCTCTCTTTCTATCTGTCTGCATATCATCCCTCACTCTTTCCGTCATTCTACTTATCATTCCTCTCTCTTTCTATCTATTGGCCTATCATCCCTCTCTCTTTCTATCTATCTACCTATCATTCTTCTCTCTCTCTCTCTATCTGCCTATCATCCCTCTATCTTTCTGTCTATTTGCCTATCATCCCTCTCGCTTTCTATCTATCTGCCTATCATCCCTCTCGCTTTCTATCTATCTGCCTATCATCCCTCTCTCTTTCTATCTGCCTATCATCCCTCTCGCTTTCTATCTATCTGCCTATTATCCCTCTCTCTTTCTATCTGCCATCATTCCCTTGCAAGGAAAGTACATGGAATTGAGCTACTCCAAAAATAATGACCACTGATAAGTCTTACCCAAATATCACTTTCTCATTTAATATTGCCTTTTACTGATAGACTCATCACTTACAATTTATTCATTTGCCAAAACAAACACAAACACAAACTAGAAACATTTACTAACAACCACATTACAAGAACTTACATACAACTACCAAACTTGTACAACCAAATCTTCTGATAATAAATCCTTCTGATTATATATATATATATATATATATATATATATATATATATATATATATATATAAAAAAAAAGAAAGAACAGTAAGATATAAAAACCGTGTCCTTATAGATATTTTTATTTTTACAAAATAGTGCTCAATGTAAATTTACAGAGATTAATTATAAATTAATTGATTTAAAATATGATTTTTTTTGCTACAGTTCCAAACATGAAACATGGTTGAACTGTGTATGTAAAAAAAACATATTTTAAATCAAATTTATAATATATATATATATATATATATATATATATATATATATATATATATATATATATATAATAAAAAAACCTAGTGAGCCAGGATCTATCTACCAAGGTTTCACCTAATGGATCTTCAGGGTAAAACTTTGCTCTACTTGGTGTAGTGAGCACTCTTACATTTTACTTAGCTTACTCAGTTGCTGTTTTTTTTTGGGGGTCTAGGCATTGCAGTGTTATGTGATTTTTTTCAATCAACACAGATTTTTTTACTCTTTTTTATACTGAATCCTGCCACCCCTGATACCAGTTTGTTTAAACATATTTGCAAATTGTACTCTCCATGATTTTTTTTTACCATTTAGGTATGGGCATTAAATAATACATATATATATATATATATATATATATATATATATATATATATATATATTTATGCCCATATTTAATGCCCATACCTTATCTTATATATATATATATATATATATATATATATATATATGAATATAAAAGTGAACATTGAAGTCAACACTCAGAGGTGGCAGGCTGCTTCATGCTAGACACAATCTATATATATTATAAATGTTGAACTTTTTTGTCATGTTGAATATATGTTATATATTATTAAGCAAATATTGGCGTCAGACAAGGTCCATCATAACACCGGAAACAAGGGGTAAACCTCTACCTCTGTTCAAAAGAATAAGGAGAAGTGTGAACTGGATAATATGCAAACCTATCTACCTTGTCCTCGTTCCACTGTCCAAGTCTAGGGATATCATGTTTAGTTCTTACTTTTAGTACTGCTCGTTTATTGTGTGTTTGTTTCCACTGAGACCAAGTACACACTACCTGACCCAGGGATTAAACTCACAATTATTATGTCACCAAATTCAGAAACCAATGTTTTAATCTACTAGCTACAAAGCTGCTTTAATTCACTCAGCTATAATTCATGAGGCTATTATGGAGAAAAAGTTATTCCTTATTGTAAATAAGCAACATAATTTTTAAATGATATCTAATTTTTCTTTTTCTTTTTCTCTTTTCTTTTTTTTTACTCATGTTCACCCAATACAAGTCTCAAGAGCCACTCAAGATAGAGGGTTACTGTGTGGAGTTGCATTAGAGTATGAAAGAGTAAGATAACAGGAAATATAAACAGCTAATTCTAAACTTGAAAGTTCATGGTTTAATTAGCAAATAGAATTTCAGAGTTCAGGCAGAGATTTTTGAGAGTATGAAGTTGAAGTACACTTTAGAAGGAACATGAAACCCAATCCTAAGCTGGAAACATGAGATGAACCTCTACTCCTATTCAAAAGACGAGGGAGGTGTGTGACTGGATTAGTCAGATATAAAAGTTATCTCCCTTTAATTTCCTAACTTTTGATTTTCCTGTGAAATAAACAATTGTATAAATGAAGATTCAATTTAATGGTTTCTGTGAAAGCCAGTTTTGGGGCAAATGGCATTCATGTGAAAAAAAGAAAAAAGAAAGAAAGTGAAAGAGAAAAATAGCGAAGAATGAGGAAAAAGAAAAAAAATGTCTATCCTCATAGATATGAGTTTAAAAAAAATAGTTTTTCAATGTGATATTTATTTTTTTCCTTTTGTCATTCCTTTTCTTTTTCATCTTTTTTTTAAATTCTTTCAATTTTCATTCTCTTTGATTTTTTTTTTCTATCCTTTTTTTTTATTTCTAGTTTCTCTCTTTTTATTTTCCTCCTTTTTCTTTCCATCAGAATCTTTTTGAATGTATTTTTTTTATTCCCATTACATTGTTACTTTTTTCTTTTTCTTTTGTTCATTTCTTTCATGATTCTTCAATTCTATCTTTCTTCTTTGCCAAAAACCTTCTGCTTCAAAGGTGTCCTCATAACTATCCTATCCTCATAGCTATCCACTCCTTTTCAAGCACTGTTTTATATCTGTTTCCACACCCCTTTAGCTTTTCCCCCTTCCTGTTTTCAAATCTCTTCTTCACTGTGTATTGTCAGATCATCAACCTTTGTTAAAGCAACCACTTCCTCCCACAATTCTCAACTTATTCACCCATCAATTGTCCTCATAGTTCTGAATAGCATTCCTGGTTGCCTGGAGCCTGTTATGATGTAATAATCACATTGTTATCTTCATTGGCTTGGCTGCTGTTGTAAATGACAAAGATAATGATAAGGTTGTACCTTATTTTGAGGGTCAGAGAAAAAGGAAGTAGAAAAAAAACAAAGAAGAAGAAGAAAAAAAAAACGTAGACAAAATATAAAGGAAAAATGAGACAAAAAAAATGGACGAAAATAAAGAAAGTAAAGGAAAAATCATAAAAAAGAAAGATGAAGAAAAAAGAAAGAAAAAAATGGCTGAAAATAAATAAGAAAGAAAGATGAAGAAAAAAGAAAGAAAAAATGGCTGAAAATAAAGAAGAAAGAAAGATGAAGAAAAAAGAAAGCACATGAGAAAAAATAAATAAATAGAAAGAAAGAAAGAAAGATTTGTGCATAGCTAAAAATGAAAAAGAAATAAAGTAATAATGAAAAGAGAATGGGAAAACAGAAAGAAAGAGTGAAGGAAAAAGCAGGATTTAAGAAAAATGAAAAAGAAGGAAGATTTAGAAAAATTGATAAACAAATCAGAAATTAAAATAAAACTAAAAAAATTAAGGGAACAATCTGATAAAGATAAGAAGGAAAATAGAAAAAAAATGTTGTATTAAAAGAAAGAAAGGAATAACATTTTGAAAATAGAAAAAAAAGAACAATATGTTTTATGTCTTATGTGTTTGTTGGTACAGGAAAAGAAAGAGAAATAGAAAAAGATTGAGAAGGAAAGAACAAAACATGAAATTGGAAAGAAAGAAAAAGGGAAGAATGAAAAAAAAATTGAGAGAAAAGAAACAAAAGAGGATAAAACAAAGAAAGAGAGAGGAATGATAGGCAGACAGATAGAAAGAGAGTGGGATGATAGGCAGTTTGATAGAAAGAGAGAAGTATGATCGGCAGATAGAAAGAAAGAAGGATGATAGGCAGATAGATAGAAAGAGAGTGGAATGATTGGCCGATAGATAGAAAGAGGGAGGAATGATTGGCAGATAGAAAGAGAGAGGAATGATAGGCAGATAGATAGAAAGTAAGTGGGATGATAGGCAGATATAGAAAGAGAGAAGGATGATAGGCAGATAGATAGAAAGAAAGAAGGATGATAGCAGATAGATAGAAAGAGAGAGGAATGATAGGCAGATAGATAGAAAGAGAGTGGGATGATAGACAGATAGATAGAAAGAGAGAAGGATGATAGGCAGATAGAAAGAAAGAAGGATGATAGGCAGATAGATAGAAAGAGAGTGGAATGATTGGCCGATAGATAGAAAGAGAGAGGAATGATAGGCAGATAGATAGAAAGAAAGAGGGATAAAAATTAGAAGTAAAAAGAAAAACAGACAAAAATGAAGCTAAAATTGAATCGGACAGATTATCAGAGAGATTATAATATTGACATGATGAAGGAAATAAATACTAAGGATTTCTCTTTCTCTCTCTCTCTTTATTTTTCTACTCTATCTTTCTCTTTTTTGCCTCTCTTCTTCTTTCTCTTTTTCTTTCTCCTCATTCTTTTTGTTTTTCTCTCTCTCTTCTTTCTTTCTTTTCTTCTTTCTTTCTTTCTCTTTCATATTTTTCTCTTTCTTTTACTTTCTTTCATTCTTTCTTTCTTCTCATTTTTCTCACTTTCTCTTCTTTCCATCTTTTTCTCATTTTATCTCTCTCTCACTATCTTCTCTTTTTCATTCACTTGCCCTCTTTTTCTTTCTCTCACTATCTGTATGTATATATATATATGTGTGTGTGTGTGTGTTGTGTTTAGGAGCATGTGTTTAGGTGTGGAGTGTACTTGTGTATTGTGCAACTAGAAAGAAGGAAAAGTGAACGAAAAACATTTACTTCTAGGCTGCAAACAGCATCATGCCACACTCCATTCTTGTACTTCCACCCCACCCCACCTGTATTATTACACCGCCTCCACCCATATGGCCCCCCCAGCTCGGTGGTAAGCTGAGGTAATAATCCAGTTTAAAGGTTAGTTTGGTGGCTCATAATTTTGTGTTGCAATCAACTAAGCATCGAGGCACATGGCTGACCACATCCCCCCACGCACCCCCCTTTTCACAAACACCCTGCTTCTATCCAACATTTTGGTTGAGTTTTACTTGGGCTTCCCTCCATCCCCGACCCTGTTCACTTTAAACTCAACATCCTGTCTTGTTCTTTCACTTGATGCGTAATTATTTCATGTTAAAAACTGTGAGAGAGAAGGGGGTGGAGTAATTTAATTTCCTGCTGTGAAATGGTGAGAGAATATATGTGTGCATAGATGTGTGTGTGTGTGTGTGTGTGTACGCGTGTTTGAGAGAGAGAAAACAATATAGAGAAAGGGGAAATGGTTTAGGTTCTATGAGTATTTGTGTTATTAGAGACGGAGATACACAGACAGATAGGAACAAACTAAGAAAAACAGATAGATAGATAGATAGATAGATAGATAGATAGATAGATAGATAATGAAAAGACTGGAATAGATAGATAGATAGATAGATAGATAGATAGATAGATAGATAGATAGATAGATAGATAGATACGAACAAACTTAGATGGAATGCTAGGTAGACAAGGAAGATGGATAGATAGATCCAAACAAGGTTAGATGGAATTATATGTAGATAGATAGATAGATAGATAGATAGATAGGAACAAACTAAGAAAGAAAGTAGAAAAGAGAGGGAGAGAGAGAGAAACAAGGAAAGAGATAGAAACAGATTGTGACAGATATGAATAGACAAGGATAGATAGATAGATAGATAGATAGATAGATAGATAGATAGATAGATAATGACAGAGAAGGAATGGGAGAGAGAAAAAAAAAAAGAACACAGGAAAATAGATAGATAGATAGATAGATAATGGCATTGAACAAAAAATATGTATTTCTTAAAAAAACTAATTCGGCCTCAATTTGTGATGAAACCTTTCATGGTTGTGTGGTCTAAAGTACATGTAGATAAAAGTGGTTTCCCTAATAAAGTGATACACAGGTTCAAACCCTGTCTAAAGGCACCATCTCTTTATTAAGACTTTCAAATGCATAGGCTGGTAGATGCCTGTTCCACTGTTTAAAAAAAAACCCAAAAAACGGAGATGTCTATTCAAACACATATATCCACTAAACATAATGTTTACAGTAATAGGAAACATATATATATATATATATATATATATATATATATATATATATATATCAACTTGTTCAGGAGTTTTTAAGTCTTTGCATATTCTCAGTATTGGAAGCTCTACTGGTTGCTGTTGATCTGGGTTTTCATTGGCATGTGACTTTTTTTTTCCTTGCTGCAGCCTTGGCTCTTTTGATTGCAAGCTGTTCCTCTGTTGTTGGAGATTTCTTTTTGAAAGGCATACTGATGCCATATGCAATAGGCAAAAATAAACTACAGAAGAACTCAAAACTGATCACTGTATTAAGTATTGCATTAATATGTAAGCTTACCTTTTAAAAGTTCAATGATAATTCTTCTACCGCCACTTAATTTAAAGACAATTTGATGTACATTGGTCCTTATTTTAATTACAAACAATTATTTTTATTTCATAGGTGACTTTCACTGGATTTCACAATTAATTTCAATTATTCCCAAATTTATTTCCAAGTTATAAAAACTGTTATCCTACAAAAAATTTGTTGCGAAAAATCATGTCAATAATCGCCAAAAACAATTGCAGTAATGAAAACTTGGGAATCCAAAATTTCAGGACTGTGAGCCTGGATTTGGCCAGGAATGTTTTTAATTTGCTCACAGAATCAGCCTTATTCCAAAATGGTATGCTATGTTGGGCTATGGCCTTGAGAAGTAAAGTTGAAAAAATGTGACACACTGACATTCATATTTATTTATATATATGCATGTTTGTTTCATTGAATAAAATAGACATATTATGTCTATTTGTTTTTATACTGATCCTTTCCAGTTCTATAACCAGAGCAAAAACAAGAACATTAAATTAATTACCTACCATATAAAATCTAAAACTGTTAACCTCATTGTCAACAATAATAACTCACCTGTAATATCCAAATTACAGAAAACTAATATTATTTGTAAATTCAAATGTCTCTTATGGGGATATGTTCCTGACCAAACCAAGTTTGTAAATATTTATATTGGATAACAACATGTCTAACAAAAAGACATATGTTAACCTCTCTGACCATAGCTCAATTAGGTCTCATTTAAATAAACATGGAAATGTACCAAACTGTATGCACAACATACTTATTGATAATACAAATATAAAAGCATTATTGAATATGTACAAAACGGCTAAAAATAATGGAATCATTATAAAGAAGAAAAAGCTGACAAAATAATATCAACCATGAACACAAGCATAATGTGTTGACTATGTTTGGAAAGTAAAAAATTGCTATAACACTAGATACATACATAAAACAATCCATACATTCAGTCAAAATTAAAAATAAAATTCATCCTTGATAATGGCTAAAGGTATAGCTGAAACCACTCAGACACACAAAACATTTGGACATGAAAAATTAAATTAAACATTAACCAGACTACCTAGTCAGCTGGTTTTGATGAAACTTGTATATATACTTTCCATCTTTGATAATGAGCACTTTTACCCATAAATACCAAAATCATATATATATATATATATATATATATATATAATATAAATTTTAATCTTAGAAAATTTCTTAAAATGGATTCATGTTTGTGTGCAAGCATGAAATGAAATGTAACAGCTCTGTGTTGACCTCAGTGTCTATTTTACATTTTATATTCATATACACCATATTGCTGATTTTATTATACATATACATACATACATACATACATACATATATATATATATATATATATATATATATATATATATATATATATATATATAATAACTGGTCAAGTTTTTCTGGCAACATATACAGGGTTTGATGCATAAATTGTTGTCATTTTATATTTTTAATTTCATACATGGACATTTTTTTGGATTTTGTTGACTGCACAGTCTAGTAGGTTCAGTTGAGCACCGTCTTTGAAAAAAAGAGCACCATGATGCAATTCACTCTGCCAGAAATTTGAAAATGGCATGCTATACTGCTTGGCATTCATGTTGAAAGTTCCAATACAAACTTTTCAGAGTGTTTGGGTGTCAATCCGAGGAGAGTGCAGAGGATTCGGACAGAGTTGGATGATATATCCAGTTAACATCATGGTGTTTGGAGTGGTCACTAGTGATGGCCATGTTATGCCTCCATTCATCTTCCCACAGGGCCTCAGATTCAACAGGAAGATCTACATCAAGTGCCTTGATGAGGTAGTGCTGCCCTGAGTCAAGAGAGTGGCTGCTGGAAATCCTATGTTTGGCAACAGGACTCTGTACAATGCCCACAAGTCAAGAGAAACCAGTCATGGCTGTCAGACAATTTCTGTGACCACATCACCCCTTACATCTGGCCCACCTAACTCCACAGACTGCAACCCCCTTGATTATTATGTGTGGGGCACAGTTGAGCTAGAGACCAACAAAACCTCTTGTAACACCAATGATGAACTGAAAGCAAAGATTATGGCAGCATTCACCAACTTAAACAAGGAGACTGTCCAGAAGAGTTGCAGGATATTCCAAAGTTGTCTGGAGACTATGGTTGAAGCTAATGTCAATTTTATTGAATAAATTTACTCTTTAGTATTTGATATAATGAAATAACCTGTCACCCCCATGAGTGACTACACTATAGCATCTGTAAGTCAATGGACAACAGAGACTAGCTGCGACCTGTTCCAGCTAAACAGTCGAACTCTCTGCCTTCAAGCAGAGAGGAACCTGAACAAGGCTCTGTCAAAAGGCAGAGTTTTGTTTGGGAAGGTAGACTGCCCCTGAACCCGTTTATACGGGTTCAAAAGGGAATATTTTTGGCCGAGCTTACGGGCTCGGAGAACCCACGTTAAACCGGCCTTGTGCCACATGCAGCCTACGTTTTAGCTAAATATACTAGCTGTGATCTGTTCCAGCTAGACAGTCAAACTCTCTGCCTCTGAGTGGAGAGGAACCCGGACGAGGCTTAGCCAAAGGGCAGAGCACCATTTTAGGAGATTGACTGACCGTGAACCCGTTTATACGGGTTCAAAAGGAAATATTTTTGGCTGAGCCACATTAAACCCGGCCTTGTGCCACATGCAACCCTCGTGGGGGGGAGGGCTAAATATACTAATTGGGATCTGGGCAGAGAGGAACCCGGACGAGGCTCTGCTGTAGGGCAGGGTCTCATTCGGGGAGGTTGACCAGCCTGATCTCGTTTATGCGAGTTCTACAGGGAATTTTTGGCCAAGCCTACGGGCTTGGAAGACCCACATTAAACTCGACCTTGTGCCACATCTACCCTCGTGGGGGGCTAGTAAATATTGATTAGCTGGGATCTATTGAGTACAAGTCAGACTTATGTGAGAACTACCAAACTTCCAATAGTAGCACTCACTACTGGATTGACTTGCGACGACCTTGTGCATAACTGTTACGTTTATTCTTATTGTGCTGGTTTTCACAATAAACCTTTACTTATTTTATCCACCTTGTTTTCCAAGTATATATTCCTATTAGCACGGAATATAACAGTATTTCAAGATATTTTTATGTAATTTTGGCAAATATATCTGTTAAAATGAGATGCCAGTGTTATTTTCATTTTTGCTTAATTTAGAAGACAATTTATCCATCGCAGCCTGCAGATATATTTCTCTAGGTTTAATGGATTTATTTTTAATTCAACATTTTTATCCTTTCAAACTTTATTTTTAATGGATACCTGTATTTGAAATAGATGCCCTCTTCATTTTTTTTATTATTGTAAACAGTATGTATTATGTCTGCTTGCCTCCACAATCAATAGAGCTGAATAAAGACTAGAGAGAGCATATTTTTTATTAATCTTTCACAAGTGTGCAGTCTGGTATGCATAGTATTCATTGTTTAACAATTAGGGGTCTAAATGTGGATATGTTAAATCCCCTACATATTTTTAATTCACAAATGCAACAAAAATAAGCAACAAGAGAAATAATAATATAAAAACAATGCATTGTTTCAACAATTGATAAATATTTATATAACACAACAGGGTACAATATTTGTGGTTCAAGTAGTTTAAATTTTTCCAAAGTTTTGTTTGGTTTGGTTAGAAGTGTTATTAAAGTTTTGGTTCATAAGTTATGAACTTGTTAAACTGTGTGTAAGAAAATTAGAAAGTGTGCTTAACTAGTATTGTGCCTGTGGCAAAATTAAAGAGTTCTGTTTGTGTAATAAATTCAAAGTATTGTTGTTGGTTTACTGTAATTTCTACAAAGTTGTTGTTCTTTGACTAGAGTTTTGACATGTGTTGTTTGTAGTGAAATAAGTTGTTTGAGTGAGTGTTCTTTTGAAAGCTGGGTTTATGTTAGTTGAAATAATTAACGTTAAAACTGAAAATGTGTGACATAAGTTTGTGTGTTGAGTTGAAAAATCTAATTTGTCTCACTGCCGAGGATGAACAACGTTTCATATTTATTGAAAACTTGGGTCACGTGATAGGCTCCAAATTGCTTGGCACAATTTATGTTTTAACTCACGCCAGAAACTAGGTCGATTTGATTCAGACGTAGTTGAGTACAGGTGAAATATACATTTTATATTTGCCAGCCAATCAGAAAGCATCTTTGCAAAACTCCATTTGGAGCCTGTTTTAAGGGGTTTTTTTGGCTGATATAGAATTTTGATATTAAAAAAAAAATGGCATTTGTATTTCAAAAACTGGTTTACACTAAAAATATTGTTTGAAGAAATAAAAATGTTGGATTAAAAATAAATGCATTAATTCTCTAGAAATTGCTTTGTTTACATTTCCAATACAAAATTCAGCAGATATGGCCCTTCGGGAAAAACTGAACAAGGAAGTGTATATCTCTTAAAACGATAAAGAGAATACTATTATTCTGTCACATACACTGTAGCTGAGCAGTCTATAGTATGCTTGATCAAAGGCTGGTTTCTCCTACAATGTGGGGGACATGTTTGAACCCTTATTTTTCTTATTACATACACATAATACCCACTCTTTAAAATAAGATGGAAAATAAGAGAATGTCTATTTCAAACACAGGTATCCATTACAATGTTTGAAGTAATAAATATATATATATATATATATATATATATATATATATATATATATTAACAAATATAAATGGATATAAATCCGACAGAATGAAGAAAATATCTGGAAAACCAAACAAAAATCCTTAGAATGTGATTATGTTGTTTTAATTAATATTCATTCATAATTAAAACAACATAATCACATTCTAAGGATTTTTGTTTGGTTTTCCAGATATTTTCTTCATATATATATATATATATATATACACACACACACATATATATAATGTGTATTTAAGTAGCAGTCCCTTGTTAATACATATTTTTTCTTATATATTAGGCTAAACAAATTTTTCATTTTGCAAACTGACACATTATCTGTTGAGAAGTACGAAGAAAGGATCGGGTTTCATTTTCTCAGCCCTATGAGTAACATTTCATATATTTAATAGGTATTCATCTGTATTTACATTTATCGCTGCATTTTAATATGGCCAATAACTTTTCACATGGTATTTCAAATAGTGCTCTGTTTTATTTGTTGAAAAATTATCTGTTTTGCAAGTATGCCAAAAGAAAATCTTACATAAGACTTTGTTGAAATTCAAAACCTTTCTTTATATGCCATCATGACTTGGTAAAAAAAACAAAAAAACTCAGTAGCTTAACAGGATAACCAGCCACACCCATCCCTAAATTAGTATATGTTTTATGTCGCTTTGTTTGTTAGCGAGCAAGTTTCATGTTAGGAAAGTAAAAGTGACAGATTTAACCAAAAGGTTCTTGTCTGTTATTAACCTCCAAATATTTTTGCCTTCTTTGTTATCTCCTTGTTCTTAGACAATGGTATTTCTGTCTGTCTGATGGTGTGCCTACTGCCCTTAGATTCCCCCTCTAGAAACCACACCCATTAAATGTACATGTGGTGTAATCAGTAATGAACAATAGAACTGCCAAGGAAATGTGGAAATTTTTCCAGGCACGCTTTTTCTGACCATTCTTGATGATCTTCATACTTGATAACACAATGACCCAAGTTATAGTGTTTATCTATAGATTCAAAGACTAAACATATACAATATTTACCTATTGACTTAAGTATAAAACTTAAGCAATATTCAAATTAATTATTGTAATTTTTATCATTACATCTTATCATTTGATGGTCAATATTAAATCTTTTCTCAATGATCTGCAAAAACAAATCATAATATATATCTATAGGCTCAAGTATTAAATCCAAGCAATATTTACCTATTGACTCAAGTATAAAACTTTATAAATGTTCAAATTAATTATTTCAATTTTTAACATTACATTTTATCTTTTGATAATTAATAACCTTAAGACTTTTCCAATGATTTGCTAAAAACAAATCATAATGTATATCTATAGTCTCAAGTATTAAACCCAAACAATGTTTACCTATCGACTCAAGTATAAAAACTGAGTAATGTTCAAATTAGTTATTTAATATTTATCATTACTTCTTATCATTTGAGGGCTAACAACTTTAAGACTTTTCTCAATGATCTGCTCAAACCAAGTCATAATGTTTATTTATAGACTCAAGTATAAAATGTGAACATTGCTTACCTATAGATTCAAATAAAAAATCCAATCAATGCTTACCTGTAAACTCAATTATAAAGCACAACCAATGTTTACCTAGTGATTCAATTGTAAAAGCTGGGTAATATTTACCTGTTGACTCAAGTATACACCAAAACAAAATTTACCTTTAGTTCCAAGTATAAACCTAATTTACATAAAGAATCAAGTGTAATCTGAGTAATCTTTACCTATAGACTAAAATATGAAGAACAAGTATATAGATTTTTAAATTAAATAGACCACCAAGAGTTGATATATCACAAAATTCACAAACAAAACCCTTGTCTTTATTTCAATGTTTCTGTTGATATACTTGTTTAAACAACAGAGACAACCCTAGGTATATCATATAAAATTGCTTCTTCTTTTTTAAGGTGCTATGTCCCTTCAAGATGTAGCAGTCATGGCCCTCCACAATTTCCTCTCCTTTGCAACTTCTATTTAAAATACTATATTTATTAGAAAATATATTCAGTTTTAATACAGAAGGGGCTCATAAAACAATGACTTCAAAGGCCTGCACATTTTGTCTTATACTCTTAAGTTCCCATGATGTTACCCTGGGGTTGTTGTCAGGCAGAGGCAGAAAGGGAAATTAGTTCTCATGCCACAAGTGCCCATTTCAGTTTCATTCCAACTGTGTTTATGTACTTTTGCATATGGACATATGCATTTTAATTCAATGAAAACATTTAGTAAAATTGTCTTTTCGCTATCTATCCTAATCACTGTTCTGCCAACCATTTACACAAGCTTATTAGGTAGGTTATACGTGACTTTCCTCTGTCTCTCTTGCCTTCAGTATGTCCTGTGAGTATCAAATTTTCCAAGCCCTTTTTCCTCATAATGTTCCCTAGAAACAGAGATATTTCCAGATATTTCTTTCTGATTCTAAATATAAGCATCCTTTGTGTTTCTCTAAAACCTTGTCATTGCTTACATGTTCTGTCAGTGGTATTCTCATCATCCTTCTGTAGAACCACATTTCTGTTGGTTCAAGTCTCTTCTTCCATGAGGACTGATATTTTTCAACAGTTCAACACTCTTTTTGTTGTTTCTAATGAAATTTTCCTGTTTCTTAATACTTTGCTTAGCTTTTTGGATGCATCTTTTGCTATTCCAGTGCACCTTTGGATTTCAGAATCACATTTTCTGTTCTAGACATTTAAATTTTCGTATTTGCATGATTTTATTGTTTTTCTTAATTTGCTTAGCTTTGGAAGGCATCTTTTGCTATTCAAGTGCACCTTCAGATTTCAATGCCATATTTTCTATCCTCTGTTAAAACATTTCCTAAATGTTACCTTATTCTTGAGAAAATGCTTCATCTTATGCTGTAATAAATAAATTCATCTCAGCCTATCAGATATATAAAGCACTTCATCTTACCTTATTCCTAATAAAATTAGTCAAGTGCTTCATTGAAATTCATGAAGTGCTTCATTTTATAAGTGCTTCTTAAAAATGTTTCTTCGTATTTGATTTAATAAAGTGCTTCATCTCAGTCTCTCAAATAACCTGCTTTTTTTTCTCTTGCAGTTTGTCGAGGCACAAAGCAAAAGCTGACCCATTCAGGTACAGCACATTACCGTTATATGTTCATTAAGAATCGATATGAAAACTGCACCTACATTGATGGAAACTTGGAGATTGTCTTCCTCAACAACCGATCAGTGGACTATGATCTGTCATTCTTGGAGTCGATCCGTGAGGTCACAGGCTACATCCTTATTGTCAGTGTCTTTGCGAGCTATATCCCCTTGACTAACCTGCAGATCATCCGTGGCAATGAGCTGTTTCCTCACAAGGATGATTTATACAGTCTTTTTGTGGCTGACAATTATGAGGCAAGTTCGAAACACATTGGCCTCAAGGAGTTGCGCTTCAAGTCATTGGCAGGTGAGTTTTGCTCTTCTGTTTTTTGTTGGTGGGGGTTGTACAGAGTGTTTGAATCTGATTTTTGGAGACAATTTATGTCTTCAAATAAGAATAGAGATTAAAATGATTTGTGATAATTTTTATATCATATAGTGTCAGAACAAACTAAGTTAACAGCAAACTCTTACTAGTTTTTTTTTTTTTTTTTTTTTAAATATTTCATTTGTAATGTTACTAACATCTGATAAGAATACAAGCTTGACATGTCCAAACATAAAAAAAAAAAAATATTCCCTTCTGGATTACGTCAAATCAATATTGGCCAAATCAAGGGTATGTGGTTTGGGGTCTTTCTTTGAACATTCAATCTATTTGTAAGGGTATCAAGAATTTGTGAAGAAGTGCCAAAGGATCTCAGCAATATTTTTCAGAAACTTTGAAATAAATGAGCAAAATCAAAGTTATAAACAAATAATATATTTTTATTTATTTGATTTTGATTGGATTGATTTCTTTATAATTCAGGTTGGTGAAAGTTTGGTCATCTGGGCAGTTGATAGTTTACAAGTCAGGCTTCGGTAGTAGCCGAGAGTGTGGTTACTTTGCAAATATGTTATAGATGCCAAATACTCTGTTTTCTCAGTCGTCATGAAGGGCAGAAAAATGTCTTAAGCAGATAACCACTTAGTCTCTTCATGCAACGCACTTAGCTGGTTACTTTGGCTGACTCTTCTCTGCTCCTGTCTGTTGACAGTCTCTTTATATACACTTAAGAAAGGCTCCACACTAATTAGCACAAAGTTTGATTTTGACTAACATCAAAATTCACTTTTTTCCTTTGACTGGCCAAAATTCTTTTATTTATTTTCTAGCATTCCTTTCAATTTTATAGTGGAATTTATGTATGGAGCCTCTCTTATTTTGGTAGATTTCTAGTCACAATAACTAGACCCTGAACCAATGAACTTCCATTTTGCAGCAGTTGTTCGGTCTTTTCTTCCTCTTTTTATATGAAAGTTGCTTTCTCATTAGTCAAGAGAAAAGTATAAAGAGAGAAGTCTAGAGAGAAAAGAGATATGGGTTTTTAAATAAAGCAAACATTTTAATTTGCATTTTTTTTAAATACTTTATTTTCATATTTTATTTTTATATTTGGGCTCACCACAGATTCCTTTTTCCACCTCAGGTCAGATATTTATATAACTTCCTGTTATCTGGTTGTCTTATATGTGTATATTTTTAGTTTGACTTGGTTCACTTCCTTGTTTATGCTGGTGCACCTACCAACATCATTTGAGGCACAATTCTGCACTTATTGGCCTTGAGATCATCTTCTAGGTCAATATTTAGGGCTCACAAGTAATTTGACATTCTGAAGTGACACCAAATACAAAAATTACTATGGTATCACTTAGGGTGAACCTAATATATATTGGGGTCACCACAGATTAACTTTTCTTAGATCAAGGTTGTTGATGAACATTAAATTTGATTCAGACCTGATATTTCCTGACATGACTCTTAAAAAAAAGGTTCGGATGAAATTATTGAAGATCAAAGTTGACAGAAAAGCAAGAAGCTGGAAGAGAATTTTACAAGCAAGAGACTGTTAGCATAGAAATTATGGTTACATCTAGTAATTTCAACTGTAAAATGATTAAACCTAGCTAATTTTAATATTAGCCATTTTCTTATTAAGAAAGATTTGTCATTCATTACCTGAGTAGCTAAGACCTTAATTGAATTTTTTAAAATCTTTGTCTTAGAACAATTTGTAAAAAAATAAGTTTCTCAAGTCCAGTAGCTTTTATTGATCTTTCCACTATTGATGGGAGTTTTCTTCCTATCATTTTATTTTAGTTAGTGTGGAATGTCAACATCTTGATTATATAATCATTTTCTCTTTGAATTACATGTTATATCTATTTTAGTTGTTGCTGCTGTTGAAAATCCTCAAATAATATGGTTTCTTTTATTTAATACAATTCTTTGTTTGTGATTCCATAGTGCTAGTCCGGTGCTTAAATTCATGAAGTTGAGGTACCAAAGATGGAAGCTTATCAGAACAATTACCATGAAAATATTTATAGAAACAGCGTAGGAACGCTACATTAGCATACGACTGAATCTTTTAGATAAATTGTCCCAACTCTACAGTTCATGTCTTAGAATATCTCATCTTACTCTTAACTAATAATGCTCAGGTATTTCTGTTCCCAGCATGTCATAGTTGGCACCACCAAAAATGTTTTGTGTTTTAAACTTTCACTCTAAATGATTTTTCTAAAGCTGGAATTTTGATTACTCAATCAATGTAATGGGCTATGGAGATAAAAGCCTTGGTTGAGTAATCCAAAAAAGTGACTTGACCCAAAGAGTTGTGAGTTCAATACTGAGAGAGTTGAGTTACTAAAAGGGAATTAACTGAAACTGATAACAAAAGCAAAAAGCCATGGAACGTGGCATTAGAACATTTTATTCCCGTGGAATAAATGCTAAGTTTGAAATTTCAATGTATTTTTTCACCTGAAAAAAGCCAGAGCTTACAACCATTGATACATTGTGAATATAGCAATAAAGACAAATAGCCTGAACAGTGTAAATAGTGTAAATATCTGCAATGTTGTAACAATGTTCCGTTGTAGCTGGATCATAATGTTTCAACCATTGTGCCCACTGGACTTCTTCAGGTGTTTCTCAATCCAGCTAACTTTCAGGGAATTTTGAACTTAACACTTTATTTAATCTACAGGAGTAGATTGTTCTCGTTCTACTGTTCATGGTCTTTTTATTTATTTCTAGCACTTGCTCAATTTCTCGCTCTGTTTCTGTTGAGTCTGTGCTTGTATGATCCTACCAGGCACTGAACGCACAATTACAATGTTACCAAAGATTTAATGTTTTTTAAACTTTTGTCTTACATGTTTTTTTAATGCAGGAATTTTTTTTTCAGAAATTATGCATGGTAAAGTGGCTTTCATGAACAACAACCTCCTTTGCTTTGAAAACACAATCAACTGGACTGATATTAACCCAACAACAAAACCACCCGTAAAATTTACGTTCAGTTCCCATTATGACCAAAGAAAATGTAAGTAGCCTTTTCTACCTTTCAACAGTTTTTGTAATTATTATATTAATTACAATTTATTATTATTATTTTTTATTAATGCATACTATATCTGGTGCATCAGTTTAATAAGTTTGATAACAATAAAAAACTGATCCCCCATAGGATTTTATATAAATACTAGTTTACACATGAAATCAAACATGTCATATTTTTTACACTAGGATTTTAAGTTTACATATAGATTTTACTATTATTATAAGGTTTACATACAATAGATTTTTATAAAATTATTATAATGATGTGACACTAAATCTGGAGGCCCAATTAATTATTATAATTGATAAATCAATAGAAAAATTACTGATCCCAATAGAAAACTAGGGGTTTTATATAAATACTAGTTTACACATGAAATCAAACATGTCATATGATACTAGGATTTTGTTACATCCTTACTATTATTATAAGGTTTACATATAGATTTTACAATTATTATATTAATGTGTACTAAATCTGGGGGCCCAATTTATTACTTGATAACAACAGAAAACTGATTCCCCACATTATGTCCATTAGGATTTTTTTGTTTGCATATGCTGCCAAAAATAACAGCATATATGTGAAAGTGGTATTTTGTGAGTTTCTTACTACGGTTATAAGGATTTCAGATATGAGACTCTAAAAATAGTTTTAGAATTGTATTTATATGTCATAAATATGAGGGATCAGTTTATAACTTGATAACAATAGAAAACTGATCCCCCACATTGTGTCTTTGAATGATTGATATTTAATTAAAGTTAGCAGATATGACCTTCAAGTGATCCAAACACGAGATGTGAATTTCTTAATTTGGGTGGTTGGGCTGAGAACTTTGTGTGTATCATCATCATCAGTCTCATGACAAGGTGTGGTTGTAGGGTCATGGTGCAGCTAAACAACTGACCAGTTCCTTCCCCAATCTGGACAGGTATTCAATCATGGGTAGTGTGTCATAGGCAAGTAGATTTGACAGAGAGCATCACTGTCCACATAAGAGCATAGTCAATGTCCTTCAATTTGAAGGTTCACCTTGGTCATGGACAACATGGCTACTGATGTCATCAATGGACCCTCTTCCCTAGCTGTTGACTTCGGTCCAGAAAACCCTACACCCAGTGATGCCACAACATCACTGCACTGGCTGCATACATAGGTATAGAGTTTAGTTTACACTCTTGTGTTAGTTGTTCATTAACCCAACAAGAAGGTTTATCTGCCCTTTGACGGATTTTATATTTAATCCTGCTGGGTGGTGTCTAGCCATCTTCCTCATCAGACAAGCCTAAATGGGAAACTGGTTTAGTCACCAATGTTTCAACCATACAACATCAGCAACTAAACTGGTTCCTTCAGTATGTGCATGTTCTGAACCATGTAACAACAAAAGGAGCCTATGTTGTAACCACATTAGACATACCAATTTGTTCACTAGCTCAGTCCCTAAATCTACTTTCAAAATCTATCACAACTCTAACTGTATAAGTCATAACATAATTTACTTATTAGAATGCACATTATACCAAAAACAATATGCAGGAAAATATGAATGAACCTTTAACTACAGAATTAATAATTATCAGAATCAGATCAAGTCATCTCCCCATGAACGATTATTACCTGTAGAACAACATTTCCACCTAGGAAAACATGATTTTAAAAGCCATGCAAAATTCGCTATAATTGAAAAAAATAAAAATAGACATATAAGGTAACCTTAGAAAAATACGAGAGGAACATCAAGACAAATGGATTTTGTGCCTCAAAACACTTTGTCCAGATGGACTTAACCACAACTTAAACAACACAGATAGAATTAATATATAATCTTATAAATCATGCCCTACCCACATTTCTCACCAACACAAGACAGACATGCTTGCAGAGGTGTTGAGGTCTCACACATAGATACACACTCACACAAATATATACACATAAACACATCACAACTACCAAAAAACTAAATGATAACATACACTTAGCACACACATCCCCTTCCCAGCAACCAATAAAACTGTCAAAGTGACCAAGGACGGACTTCTGCGACTCCGTAATCTCCCAGCCTCTATTTTAAAAACAAATTGAAAGAGGCTATTTAACCAATACAAGTACTGAACAAAATTAATGATAAAAACAAATGAAAACTACAGATAAAGTTCACTTCAGAAACCGTCATTCACTCCTGGAGTTCACTGCTACTCTGCTAATAAGCAGGAATGTTTTTTTTCTCCTGATGATGGCTATGCTGGCCAAAAATAGTCAAGGAAATTAATTGAAATAATAAAACAACAAAATATTAATATACAACCCAGTGAGTCTGAAAATTTTAATTTATATTATTTAATAATTTTTTTATTGTTCAAACACACACACACACACACACACACACACACACACACACACACACACACACATATATATATATATATATATATATATATATATATATATATATATATATATATATATTATTAATAAATATACATATTATCCCTCACCAATGACATGACTGTTTCATTTTCAAAATCACTAAGATCTTTTTAATATATACTAGCAGTAGAGCCTGGCATTGCCCTGGGAGGTAACAGTAAGAGATAGATCAAGTATCGACCATCATAAAGACTGAAAAATAAAATTGACATAGATTATTGTTTAAGGTTGACGGACATGCAAATCTTAATTAATTTTTTTTTTTTACGAATTGGTCAAACCCAAACTCAAACAAAAACATTGTTTTCAATCGTTATGAGTCTATCGATTGAACAGAATTTTATTATAAACAATTGTCTTGTAAATGGAATTTTTAAAGCATTCTGAATGTAAACATAAAGAAAAAAGCGTGCAAGACAATAAGAAACACTACCTGCCAAAAAAAAGGGAAGTTTTGTTGAAATTGGTTGAAAAATGTAGGAACTCCGATCCCATATATAAATGAACACAGACACAAACACAAGCAACCTGGGTTTTATAATAAGTATAACTCAATATAAGTTGTCCCCTTTTCATTCTGGTGACAGAATCATGTTTTATCGTGTTTTCAAATTGATTTCGTGCAAAACAATTGTGTTTTTCTATTTTTTGGGCACTGTCAGAACCACCGCAAGGAAATTTTACGCAGTCCTGTGAAGTTTTGTTGAAATCAGTTGAAAAATGTAGGAAATCCGATCCAATATATAAACGTACAGACACACACACACACACACATACACACAATCTGCATTTTATAATAAGTAAGATATGCATGGTTTTGCTTACAAACTAACTTAAAAAATTTACTATTTCCAGAATAAACCCAAATAAAGTTGATATATTATTGTATTAGATAAATTGAATAGAAAATATATTCAAATCAGAATCCTAATTATGAATCACCACTTGCAAAACAAGCAGTTTTTTAATGTATTCAATAAGTAAAAACTATGTAAAAAAAATTGTAAAAATTGCAAAGAAAGGTTACTCAATGAATAAGATTTGTTAGCTCACAAGTAATAAAAACAAAAAATTAGGTAAAAATGTATATAACTCCATAATACTGTTAGACACAAATTATAAGAGAAAATGTTTTAAATTTGCATTGTTTATTGATAATTGCACTAAAACCACTGCACTGTATAACATATTACATCATAATATCGTTAAATTGTTCAATATAATTTCTCTTTAGAATAAATGAGGGTCTTATTTGATGGCAGAATGATTCAGTAATAATATGTATATGCCTTGAACCTTGTCCATAGACAATTTGTATAGCTTCAGTTAATTATAAATTTTATAAAGCTGTGCTATAAGACTTTCACTGATCACCAGAAGGAAATTCCAACACAACAATTTTGAACCTAAACTTTGAACTGCTTTCCTTAAAAAGTTGTAATGATTTTGAAATAATAGTTTGTATGATTATTTATCATGTCAAACCTCAACTTTCAAATTGAGTCCAATATCACAGTTTCAAAATCGACCTGCCCTATAATGTGTGTGTGTGTGTGTGTGTGTGTAAATAGGATTTAGAATCCAGACAAAGTTTGAAGAATATGACAGATGGAAAACCGTTTCATTGAAACTAGATTACATGTTTCGCCCTTATGAGTCTTCATCAGATCAAAAATGAAAGAAAGAAATATGTGTGTGTATGTTTAAATAATCAATTATTAGTATTTTTTCTGCTAAGCAGTCATTTCCCATGATGAAATAAAAAAATAAAATTGTGTGGCTTTTGTAAAAATGCTGGTAATATTTATTCTGTATTTTTTCTTTATACTTTTCTTGTTCTTCTTGAAATTGGATAAGAATTTATCTTAAATTCATTTCTGAAAATTGTGTTCAAAATATTTACATTTTGGCATTAAATAACCCATAGAGGTGGAAATACTGATAAACAAAAACAACCAACAATGAACTGAGTGAATCTGAAAATAATCTAAGTTCAACATCCATTATGGAATACCATTTTTCACTAATGCCTTTGGGAAAGGTTTGAATCCTATTTTCACTGCACACTGTCCCATATCCAACAATCTAAGCCACTGTCGTGTTACTGTCATGCCACAATAGCTGTGAAAGAAAAATATAGGTGAATGAGTACAGGTTTAGTTAACTTTCTCATAATTGCCTTACCTGCCTTATCAGTGGCGGCCACTCCAATGTCAGACCTGACAGACAGAGAGAGGACATTTTGGCATGATTAATTTGCCAGTCACTCTCTTTCTACCCACAGTGTCAAACACCTTCAGCATTACCAAGCTCCTCCCAAAAACTCACTGACCTTTCTGTCAAAAGGTGCATCACAGGGGTATTTAATGACTCTGTCTGCAGAGAAAATTTCCTATCTAAAACTTGAATTATAAATGCTCAAGGTTAAATTTTTTTTTGTTTTGAATTATATGACAAACAGACATAAGATATCAACAACTCTGAGGTGCTTTTTATTAACTGTATGTAAATAGAGTGAGGTAAAAAAGAAAGAAAGAAAGACAGTGAGG